CCTGCATCGAGATTGCTTGAGTATCCGATCTTCCTTAGGGGTTGAACTTGTCGCTTCTCTTCTCCTTTTCTTCTCCTAGAAACGCCTGATATACAGGCCAGTATATCGAGATGGTGTAATACCGGGATAAAAGTCACCTCAGCAAAGCAAGACTACCGGGCTCATGCATTGACCACAGAATGACAGTGCAACTCAGATCAAACTGATGAAAGCACGTCTATCTTTTCAAATAGTTCAATAAAAGATTACTTCTCACCCATGCACTTAAATTGACTTTTGCTGCGTGCTCTGGAGGTATTTTATTCTTAATTACACCTCAGATGAAAACGTCTGTTTTACCTTTTCCATAAAGCCCCTTACCAATAACGCACGTTTAACTAATAAATCCTTGAGCTAACAGCTATAGAGGTTGATCGCAAGTGCTTAATTGACAAAACAATCACAAAATGTTTGCTTTTTACATTTTAGTTGCTGATTCAAAATACAAGAATACTCTTCGGCTGATTATTAGTTACATAATCAAGTAATTGCAGTTTTTCGTAATAAAAGTTATAAGAGATTAGCTTACCTTGAGCTTCTCAGAATTTAATATTTCTGACTTGATTTCCTTTAGTCTTGCTTCTTTTACTGCAGGAGGGAAACAATGTAGAAATTAGTTAAAGATGTCTTCATACTTGTCTTCTACTTTATGATGACACGCATCAAAATCTAGAGACTCAATAGAAGAATATGTGGACGGGAACATTTATCGTTTATTATGTCAAGTAAATTATTTTATCACTAACCTGCTGATTTTATTAATGCTCTTAGCGCGTCCTGCACACGACACAAATGAATGAATGAATGAATGAATGAATGAATGAATGAATGAATGAATGAATGAATGAATGAATGAATGAATGAATGAATGAATGAATGAATGAATGAATGAATGAATGAATGAATGAATGAATGAATAAATAATAAATAAATAAGGGTTAGTTATAATAAGTTGCAATAAAGGTGAGTTATAATTTGTGATTCGAAGCACAACTATTAACAACAGCGTTTAAATCTGTAAAAGAAAATATTTTATCGCTAGTATCCGCGTAATAGATATGTCCGCTATTACAGATTTATTTTAAAATAACAGTGTGAAACTCAATGTTATCCGTGCCTGCTAATAGATAAGGCGTCCAGCTTTATAATGGAGTTGTTGGGTTCTAAGCCGCGTAGCGAGCGTTGAAGTGGAAAAGGGAATTCGAATAGGACAGAAGGAAGAAATAGAGGGCGATTGGGGAAGAGGGTCCCGTTTTCCTTTCGCGTTTTTCTTCCTCTTCCCCTCCCGAGGCTTTTTGCGCCTCACCTCACAGGTTATTGAGTTTGCGCAGAACAGCTTCACTGTACACAACAAGGTCGTTGTCACCGAAAACCTTGGATCAGTTCTACAGTTCCATCTAAAAGACATCGAGTAATCTTCAGATGTTTACAGCTGACAACGATGCATTAAAGGAGCTACTTCACGTACTGCGCATGCTCGGATTCTAACGATCATCTTGAAAAAGTTAGCCCAACCTTTTCAAGTACGTCGAGCGGTTCGGTATTCCAAGTTCATCTTAATATATCTGAGCCATCCTTGAGCAGTTTGCCCGGCTATATATTCGTAACCAATGTAGAGTCATTCTACTAGGTTTCTGTGTGGTTTTCGTTTCTAATCGGCTTATGTTGAGGTCATTTTTGGGAGCTTGAAAAATGTCCTCTCATGGCGGTCGACGATCAGGAAGCGGCCGGAAGAAAATATTTAACAGCTATATTTAGAATGCAACAAAAAAAATTAGAAACTAATCCAAGAGTCCTCAGCGACTCGCCGGGTTCGCGAGGTTACCACTACAGAAATCAAAAAACCTCATCGAACTTATTCTATTTCATACTCGCACGCGGTTAAAATCTATGCCCAATATCTGTCAAAGGAGTAAAGTACCACACCCTTTTTCGAATATGCCTTAATAGAGATACTCCACAGTCTTTGATGTGCACTACCCCAAATGAACGCTTTTCAAGCTTCATGTTTTACTTAAAATTATAGACGTTCGTCTGTGGTACTGTGGTGTGTTACTTCGCCCCGCTCAGTTTTACACGTTATGACTGTAGCGATTGCATAGTATCAGTAGCCCATCAAGATGGTATACATGTATAGTGTCCCCTACGACATGAACGTAAAGCAAAACGATTCATCAGAAATGAAGACCACCAGCCTCTCGCCCTCAAAGAGAAAACCAGTATCTCCCGCCAATAACGCTTAAGTCACCGATCGCTTCCATTAGGTGTAAATCAAACACTAACCCTCTCTCCAAACCATTTACACCCCCACCCCTCTCCTAGCCAACATGCCAGTCTTTACCTAAAGTGATTGGCAACAAGCAGTGCAACGCAAGGACGGTTAATTTGCTTTAAATTATTCGTCAAAAGGCAATCGTAACCTCTTTTTAATGCTAATCCTGTAATTATTTAAACTGCATAACCTTCTAAAATATAGTATATCTTTATCCTAGGTAAGAACGCTTAAGTCTGTCAAACATTTAACAAAATATATTTGTTCTTCTGAAGCGCTTATCTAAAAGTTGCATAGCAGTGGCAGTCAATAGTTAATTTATTTGCATCTTGTTCTTAAAATATGCCAAACGAGGTAAGGTAATACCAGGCTCTCTCCTGCACTCCAAGGAGATGGAAATTGTGGCGAGGGAACCTGAGTACGGTTGCATAAAACGCCCGTAACAATAACAGGTAAACAGTATCTTGTTTAAAGTAAAATAAAATAAATTTTACCAAAGTGAACGAGAACTTTTACTGAGGAGTGAAAAAAGTTTTTCTTGCTTGGCATTTTCTTTATACTCACCAATGGTTAACTTAAAAAAAAAATTGAGTGAGTCAAATTAATAAAGTACTATAACAAAATTACAATGTGCCCTTAAGTGAGCCCCTAAGTTACCACGTAGAAAAGAAAATTAGGAGAGTGCTAAGTGCATTCCATGCAACACCCGTAAGTAAAAGCGGATTCGTAGGTGACCCGACTTAGGTGAACACTTAAGTGCAGGTTTTATGCAACCGGACCCTGGGGAAGTAGGCAAGTTCTTACCCCCCAGATGTTCAACTGCATTTTAACCAAAACATGCATCCAACTACATGAAAAAAAATCACTCATTCTAGAATTATGATACACCAAACTGATATAAATGATTGCTAGAAGCAAGCTATTGCCGGATGTATAATAGGCGATGTACAATCTCTCTCTTAACCTGCATTTAAAATAGACGGACATCTCGCTAAATTAAAAACTTAAGAGTTGACCTTGGCCGTTTTTCAGTCATTTTCCTTTGATTTTCTATTGGGCAGACAACTTTCGTGTCCACCTCCGATGGAGTTGAGTGTATAACTGTTCGATTGCTCACTCTCTCTGTTGCGGTTGGGTGAAAGCACAAGACTACGAAGTGCCATATCTAAACAAAAAAACAGTCATAGGTATACACAGAAAGCAAGAAGCTAAACCCGGCTGTAAATAATGAATGAATGAGTTCCCCTCTAATAAAATATAATAGTTTATATGTTTGTAAAAGTCAGAAAAAAAACAAATCATCGCTACCTTGCGATAACCGAACGTTGTACTCGTGAACTTATGGCTATTTAAATTCCAAGCAAAAGCTTCTCTTTGGGTTTAGCGTTTATGAAGTCGTTCGCGTCGCTGTCAGTCGTGTTGTTGGTTTGCTTTATACTCCTGGACCATTTAAAACAAACCAACTGCTTGACTGACATACGATGGGAACGTAAAGCGCTAAAAGCAATACAAGAGAGAAACCTCTTCTCGCAGGGTAATGGCCTTTCTTTCAACAGACAGACATTTTTCGTGTTTAAGGTCTCTAAATAAGAAGCGTGTCTTTCAAATAACAAAACCGAGACAATGTGTCGTAGTCAGTATCATTTGGTAAAATATCAAATGGTACCGTTTAATTATCTTAAATGGTTTATGGCAGTAAAATACACCATATTAGTTCACAGAACACAGTGGCTCGCAGAGCTAATGAAAAACATGAACACAGTCTAGATCAGTATCAGTAACAAACAAATATCCAGTATTGGAGATGACAGCATAACGAGGGTAGCCACCCTCAAAAAAACTTCCAGCTATCTTAGCGATATACTTTCCAACAAGAGTGAAAAGTTGCAGTCTACTGTTTCCAGCATCGCAAACGATCAAACGGTTAAACTTGTCAATAACGAGACCAGTGGGTTTCAAGAACTGCCCGTCAAAAGATCCTTTGCTGCCAATGTCATATAGATACTCCCCTGCGTTGTTAAATACCATGACACGACAGGCAGAAGAAAAAGAAGCAAAGAATTTGTCCTGGTGACAAACAACACAGACCGGGGTGTTATTACAACCTGTGGCTTTGAAAGACTGAAGTAAGTTTTTCCCATCAGCTGTAAGAACTTTGATTGTCTCGTCATAAGCGTCACCTGTGATAATGCGGCCATCACTGATAACAGATACGCAGTACGGTGTCTTTACATGTTCACCGCCAATGTATCTGATAAACTGACCATTTTCAGTAAAGAGTAAAATTTTTCTGGCGTCTTTATCTTGGGTGACACGAACAAGGAGGCCACCTGGCTCGGAAAAAGCTAACGAAACAGGGTTACCCTTCAGTGCAATCTCTCTGAGGAAATTCCCATCAAAGCCAAACGTCTGAATTCTTTTATTATAAAAATCAGCAACAGAAAGTATTCTACTTTTATCATTCACAGCAATACACCAAGGCGAGCCAAACTGTCCTTGCTCTTTTCCTCCTGATCCAAATTGAAACGCAAATTGATACTTATGCGGAATCACCTGCACAACCCAGGGACTACCAGTCAGCGGCTGTCCATTAACTTGGATCTCTATTCTATGTTGTCCAACACACTGTGGTGTGTATGTTACTGTGTACTTGCCGTCTTTGGTGTCTTTTATCTCTGTTTCCAACTGATCACCTGCGGGATTTAAATATGTTGACTTTAATCACATCCTCTTCATGATAACACTGTTCCTCATCCGAGTTTCGGGTTACAATGGTAAAATCTGTTTCCGTTTTCTCTCTTACATCTTTCAGACTTGCCACTTCAGCCAACGACAGCGAAGAATCTGTGTCACTGACAACAATACGATCCAAAATCTTCACTTTCTGTTAAACTACATAATTTACGTGTGAAGGCTTATAAATGTCAGGTTTTCTGGTTGTTAGAAGTTCTTCACAGCGTTTAACAATAGCTTGGTTTGTTTGCAGAATTTCAGCACTGATGTTTCTTTGTACGATACTCTCACCTCGTTCAACGCAACTTTTTAGTTGAGTCAAAACCAACTCAAAGTTTTCTAGTTGTGTTGCGTGATGTTTTTGTTGCGCTTCATAAATTTCAGCAAATTTGGTTTTCATGGCTCTCTCATGTTCCCGCAAATCGCGAATCAACTCGTCCACTAAATCCGTCATCTTCTTTTCGCACGACATAATTTCTTTCTTGTTCTTATCCATTAACTCGGTTTGTTTCCGTACTTTTTTATCGTAAACAACGGTTTCCGCTTTCACTTTCTCCAAAGCGTCCTTCATTTGCATCTTCTGTACTTGTGCGGCTTTCTGAGTGTCTGTTATGGTGTGTCGATTATGGCTAACAATACAGCACTTGTGGCAAATAGGAACTTTGCATTCTTCGCAATAAAATTCCAGCGGTTGATTTTCGTGATATTGCTGTGAACACATGGCGGGTCTGTGGATCAAATCCTCCACATCTTGCACTTGCAATTTCTCTATCACAACATTACGATGACCTCTTGTGGCCTTCAAGCGTTGGTGAGCTTCAAAACAAAGAGTGCATAGAAAGTTCTGGCACACTAAACAGTACGAGGAAGCGGTGTTGTTCTCATCACAACTGCCACATTTTTGGACCTGTGCGCCGCTATCCTTAAGAGCCAGAATATCCACCAGTCGGTTGAGATGATAAGATGTGGGCAAATTTTTGAACGAGTCGCCTTCGGGGATTTGAAAAGATGTCTGACAAACCGGACATTTAATCGTCGCTTGCAGCTGCCTTCTGGCGAAGCCTGCATGTTTGTCGAGACACTCAAGGCAGAATGAGTGAAGACATGGCAAAGTCTTGGGATTGTTAACTATCTCTAAACACAACGGACACTCTGCTTCTTTCTGAAGATTTCTGAAGAGTTGTTGCACATCCATGGTCGGCCCAATATGGTTGGGATGATTATGCGCAACTTGATCAGAAATGAACTGTTGTCATGGACCTTGGACTTTCTGTTTTTATGTACCAGTCGAAATTCTAGCGCGCCCATTGGTCGACAGTTATTGTCTATGAAAACGACTGTCGTGGTATCGTTTTTACACTTAGGTGAAGCGTAATCACGTGCGTAATTTTCCGAGACATTTTGCTGGAATCATGGATATCCAAGGCTCTTGACTGTTCACAGTGCTCTATTTTTTTCGTAAGATCGACGAGATCGAGCGCTTTGCTTTACGGGCTTCTATCTCGCGTGAGTGTCAAAACTACAGCTATAAACCCCGACGCCCGCGCCCTCGGTACATTTGAAAATCAAGATAGCCGTCATTGACGGTAAGACGCGCTATATTCAAACGATCTCACGAAAAAATAGGGGACTGTGAACAGTCTACCAAGGCTCGGTATAGATAGATCGTCATCGTATTGGCGAAGTTGTCATTTGAGTGCCACCAAACCTTTGAGGATTTGAGCATAGTATTCCGGCTTTTCAACTCAACTACCGGCTGGAACTGAACTTTAACGGTGGATCGTTAAGCTGTAAAGGAAAGGCCTCTGTGATTTATGGGTTTCCTAGTGATTTATAAAAAAACTACATTTGTAACGATTTGCAAACAAACCTCCATATCTTGCATTTAGCTAATAGTCTTATTTTTACACCTAAAAATTAGGAATCTTGCTCAAACTTCGTTGCTTAAATCTTCTTGCTTAAGCTGTAACTCTCCATTTCGAGTGGCGAGCGAAGCGAGTTGCAAGAGAAGGCGCGAGCGAGAGGGGAGCAGGAAAAGGAGAATTCCTTTCTTTCTCAACCCCTCGCACTCACGTCTCCTTTTGGGTGCGGCTCTCGCGTGACTTCTCGCGACTCCTCAAAAGAAGAGCTTGCTCACAGGCTAACTTAAATTCGCAATCATACACCCACCTGCTTTTTTAAATGTTAATAGGTAAGCCCCTTAATATATGTAATAAAGGCCAGTGTTACAAAATACTCGTCTCTTCAGAAGCTGACAGCTTACAAGTTGGGATTTACGGGAGCGATCTCTTTGTCTGAAGGAAAGGCCAATATAAACAGACCGAATTTTTCTTGCTATTTTTATTTTATTTCAAAACTTGGACACGCGCCGTTGAAACCAGGCCCTTTACTTTTACCTTATAAAATCTGATAGCACGGTTTACCAGCTATAAGCCGTTGTTTTTTTCTCCGCTTAATGGCCGGCAGAACTAAGACAGAAAATGACTTATCATTTTCCTACTAGTAACTATCAGCTATAATTCTGCAGTTTGAGAACGTCATATGATTATACAAACAATGTCCAGTTAAACTGCTCTTTGATGATCTTCTCGTCCATTAATCTTTAAACTGATTACAAGTAATAAACCTTCAACGGTAGCCTGATTCTGATTGCGTCGATAGCATATTGCTATGCGTTTTTTTTCTTGAGTACAAGGTTTCACTAACAGATATAAAGCCGCACAGGTCGACAAAGAAAACGTCCATTTGATTAATGTTTAACGAATCACTTTTTTCCATTAGTAGTTTCCGTAGCATCAACAACCAGTGAAAAGTGTTAACTGAATTTCACACCATTGAGGTTTGAGGTCTTTCGCCTGCAGAGAGTAGGAAGTGGCTGAAATTAATCCGAATGACTTCATTTGGTCATTTAGTGGCAAGACTGGGACAAAAGATTGGGACGAGACTCGTTTGATGGTCACCAAACCATAGCCCCCCACGCAGACGTTCTTAGGGCTTCGTCACGCGTTTGTTTGTTTTTTCATCTGTGTGGTGATTGGCTACCAGATCATTTATGTTCTCTTCCCATACAGAAGAAAGACGTATACCAACCACTGATTAAGTTCTCTTTCCTTTATTATGTCCCTGGGTAAATGAAAGAAGCACGTCTTGATGACTGAATGTATTTTTTTTCTACTTACGGATTAACACACAACACATCAGACTAACACCATATTTGGCACACGAAATAGCTCTTTGGCAAATACAAAAATTTATATGTTACTGTACCGGCATTGCTTTGTTTTACTTTGTATTTCCAGTACAAGCCCCCTAGGGCTCATATTCGGAGGGGCGATTTAACGGAGAGTTTTTTGCGTTACGAGTTTTAGGGGCTTATACACGGAGGGGCTTATTTGCGGAATTTTACGGTATTAGTGAGGAGGAGCGTTGCGTGACGACCCTCTCTGCAGACAAGGGCCCGTTTCCTGAAATATTGATTAGCAATATAACTCCGGAAGTAAAATTCTAATCCACGATTGTACTTAGCTTCCATTAGATTATTTTAGACTATGTTTTTATTATCGTAACTGAAACTGGATCGTGGTGGTAAAGGCTGAATAATATTTTATCAAAACCAAATATCTCCTTGCGTGAGAAAACACCTGACTTTTCGTGACACCGGGAAATGACGTCAGAGGAACGAGCACTTAAATCCCATACTGATGACGTGCCACTACTTCAATCTCGGTAGTGCTTCTGATTTCTCGAAGGCAATATGTCCTCGGTGCCCTAACCACAGACCAACGAAAAGTTTCACATGGAGCTAAGCCATTTACTGATTTCTCTGTGACGTCAGGCGAATTAGAATCAACATGCAAGGAAAAGCAATGAAACAAGCATTCCCTGTGGTGTGATAAAAAATATGAATGGGAAATTGTAACCTGGGTTCAGATTATAGAAAGCTGAAGTGATTGAGGAAGCGCAAAAAGAGTTACACCTTATTTCCCTTGTGCTGATGTTGGTGGTACTTGAAGCTTTTCAATGGATCCAATTTACGTTTCTAAGGCAAAAAGAGAAGCAAAAAAATAGATCCAAAATTGTTTATGATTCCAAGTAATCAATTAAACAGGATACTTGAAATGTAAGACGCCGAGTACAGTCGGTTCTCTCTAATACGGACACTAAAGGGTGTCCGTATAAGAGAGGTGTAAAAAAAAAAGTGTAAATTGCTTGTTTGCCCACGAAGCACTTAGGAGGGCATATGAACTCATTTAAACGTGTCCGTGCGTTCCAGATCGAATTGGAATTTGGAAGTGTTGGTTTTTGAGGAGAGGGGAAAACCGGAGTACCCGGAGAAAAACCTCTCGGAGCAAGAGAGAGAACCAACTTCAAATTCAACCCACACATGGCGTCAACGCCGGGATATAGATATAGATGTCACCACGATCACCTAATTTTAAAGACTCACTCTGACAGTGTCAAGTAACTAAAAACGGGCGCTCGTTTGTCTTCAGAGGGAATCTAAAGTACACTGTCCACTGAGGTTTTTTCCTCTTTTTTTTTTTGGAAAATTCGACATCACGCTTATGATCAATAAAACCCTTACGGTTGTTATTTTCATGTACGAGTTCTTGATGACCTCTAAAGAGAAAAAGGAGGGTCTGTAAACCTGTTACAAACTGGCTTGCCAGTTTGAGATAGCATTTCTCTTTCAATTTATCACCTGGTTAAAAGGTTCTAAACATTCATTTTACTATTCACCATTTTCAGCAAGACCATCATTCACCTTGTTTACCCAACAATGTTTTACAGAACCATTTTTCCAATCGACCTTTTAAGTTTGTATGTTTTGTTTTCCCTTTCAGATCACGTGATGGTACCCCAGAGAACTGTTCTTTCAAATGTCGTCTTATGCACGTGCATTCAAGTGCATATGCATGCATAATTAATGAAAAGACACAAGGCAAATTCCCCGGAGAAAAAACATACTAGCTAATAAGGTTTATATATTCTGGGGGCTGGGGGGTGGGGGTAAACAAGATGCATATTCGGGTCTCGGTGAAAGAGTCAATTTCCCTCTTGTTGAGTTACTTTCACAGAATCCCTGTTTCCAAATTATTTAAACTATAATTATATACTATAACATATGTTTTCAATTATTTCTCATTTACCTTGCCAAATGCATTGTGAGCGGAGTTCTTTTCGGACGAGATAACGTGTGGACGTCTTCTCTTTCTTGAGAACTTTGCCATGGATGGTTTAAGCGTCGCTGGAACTGATCCAAAGAAAATAAAGTAAGGATTAACGAAAGATAAATTTTGTTTTGTCTTTGATGGGGTTTGAGAATGATTTGTATTTAAAGAAGGAATTAGCTCAAGCTCAATAACTCACCGAGGTATTCAGGGACATTTTTCAAGTGAGGTTGTATTCTGGTGGGATGTAGATCCTTATCATGTCTCAACACTTGTAAGTCTCTTGGATTATCTTCAAAGTATGCCTAGATAACGAAAATAACAACAGAAAAGTCTCATTGACAGATTGTGACTTATTATACTAGTAGTCTTACACGGATGCTTGGGCAAATTTCATTCAAAATGGCGCCCTCTCAGCATGTGGGTGGGCCAATACCGGTTTTTAAGAATGAACTGGTTTTGGGAGGAAAGGAGGCTGGGCAAACCGGTTTTGGGAGAACAGAAACTGGGTCACTTTTATTAATGAGCTGAGTTCTGGGGGCTGGGCAAACCGGTTTTTCAGAACAAACAGGTTTGTGGTGACAGGAACTGGGCCACTTTTATTAATGAGCTGAGATCTGGGCACACCGGGCAGTTCATGGAAATATCATGAAAAATTAATTTTAAAGTACTGAAATGGCTGGTCTGGTCTAGCGGTCTAGGACACTGTGGTTGTGGCCGCAGAAACCCAGGTTCGAATCCTGAGGTCAGCCCATCACAGTTATTTTTTTTATTTTTTGATAGTTCATTATATTTTTACCTGTGGACCCGATTTTGCGAAGACGAAGAAATTAACACAACACAGTATTTCATCGCAAAACATTTTATTCACCTCAAAGAGCATATCATTTTACACAAAAGAAATAATAATAATAAAGGAATGGCTTTTGGTTACATCATCACTTTATGTGTAGAGTCTAATATCTACAGCCATCTGTTCTACCAAATTGTCTTTGTAGCTTGGGCCTTGGTCTGTAGGTAGGTGCTTTTTCTTCATCAATAATAGGAAGATCATCTGCCCATTGAAAGTACCGACATTTTTCTTTTCTTCTGCATGAGAATCAAGGTCTGTATGGGTTTCTTTCGAATCTTGACACTCGTAAGGTAGGTACCTCTGAGCGTTTACAAAACAGTTGTTTTACTCCTTCACAGGCGTTGTAATCAGGAATAACGCGTTCGTAGATACACTGCTGACATCCGTGCACAATCTCTTCGGGACAGTAGCAGGGACACTCTTTCCACTTAACACAACGCAAGTAGGGCCACCAGATGCAGGCTTGATAACCTCAAGGTTTCGAAGACACAGTCCACACTTTGTGTAACTCATCTTAGTTTAAGTGATATGTGAAATGCCGTTCACCATACATTTTATATACACGGTAGTTTGAATACAACCGGTTTAAAACCTGTCAACTTCGTCAATACCAATAATTAACGAGTCTAACCAGTACCAACAGGTTTTACAAAATTCATTAGGATGCAAAATAGCTCTTTCAATGCGTTCTCTTTCCTGCTGTGGATAATCAATCCAGTCTTGCTCATACGGTACCAGTAAATCCAGTATGTCTAGCAAATCATGCCATAACCAGTAAC